ATATTTCTGCATTATGAAAAGACTATGGCAACAATAACATAAGCTGAACCCAGTGGTGCCAGTAAGGAAGCAATGTTTTTATGAACTCATCTCCATGAATCAAGGAATACCTAAACTGCAAAGAGCTGTACACACAAAGAACACCTAGATCTATGTTTCATCATACTGAAGCTTTTTCAGTCTATTTTTTTTTTTTCTTTTTTTGGTAAAAAGTGCTCTTTAAAAGAAAAGGGGGTTGGATTGGGCTTTTTTTCCGTTTGGGGAGTGTCTGTTTGGTTTTGGGGGTTTTTACCTCTTCTGGAGGAAGGCATTGGATCTTTGGTGTTACACCATAAAATCTTGTAAGAGCTTCCTTTATGGCAGTCATCTGAAAAATTAAAAAGCTTATAGAAATTAGTAAGTCACAAGCACATTTTCCAAGAGCTGCCACACTTGTTAAGCTCACAAGAAATTTTAGAAAAAGCACAACCTTAAAGATCTGTGCAATTTAAGAGATCATTTATTCTCTAGAAATTAGTTGACTCTTGTTGAAAAAAAGTATATGTACATGATTTTGTTTTATAAAAGATTGACTCTTACCTGGTAGTATGAACTGCTTGGCTTTATCCCAGCTTTTAAGAGACAACTGAAACAAAGATAAAACATTTTTCCATGTTTCCTATATGCAAACGTAACTTTAGAACCATTAGATAAACAGATAATCTCAAGGAGAACTTGGCAAGCGTTACAGTGATGGGGAGCAAGGGCAACTTGTCTCCCATTCTTTGCCAGGTCTAGGAAAGGTTCCCCTTTTCTAAAAGGTCACTTCCCATATAACTAGGAAGGTCAGGAAGAACTTCTCCCACACTTTAATCTGAGGACCTGGGATAGTCAAATCTTCAGACTTGATAGATAGTCAAGTCTTCAGTTTGACTGCCTTCTGACCCCTGCCTTGAGACATACCCCTGTGCTCCAGCCACTGGGAGGGGACAGACTTGTGAGGCTGCTCTAGGCACCCTCATATTTGAGCACAGGGTGGGCTTGCTGGGTGGGAGGCACACAGCACGCTACCAGAGGGACACGGTATGTGAATCTAGATCAACATTACCGTCAGGGCAGCAACTTTTTCTAATTAACATGTTTTGAAGAGGAAAGATTGTTCACCTAAGAGAAACAAGGTAAAACTCAAGATCCTCTAGCCTATATATACATACTTCTTCCTTTAGATTCAGCCCTGAGGGGAGTCCATATTTTCAAGTTGAGAAGACTCAGGGCCCAATACATGATGAATCTCCAAGTGCCAGCTTTTTCCATAAGGAATAGGAATGGTCAGTATCTTTCAGGACTTAATCCATGAGTGCTGACAATGCTCAACCCTTCCAAGGTCAGGTTCAGCACAGGGAACATTTTACCCATCTGACTAAAGAATGAGCTGTTTGTCATAGTCATTTTACACTGGATATAAGGAGGCCAATAACATAGATGATGCTTTGTTAATTCTTACAGGAACTTGCATGATGTCCTCTTTTTAATAATTTGCTTTTTGGAAACAATTTCTTAAATCACAAACATTACTTTTTCTCATGCAAGTATAAATGAAATACAATGAGAACACTGGCAGACTTTATTCCTTTCAGTAAAGATAAAATTAATTATATTCATTTTTACAATGTAGAATATGCTTTGAGCAATTAATTTCAACATGCTTCAGTCTCTATTCTTTTTCAGTGTTGCACATACTGATACAGAGTCACATAATCGGTCACTGTGCCATCTGTAAATGTTTTAGTCACACCATCACAGGCTACTTAGGCAATTGACTTAGCAGACATGAGTAATTTTAACACTTCATATGACATGCTCTTAAGTACCACGTCTAGAAAAATCTGCTGGTTTTATAACACACCTACAAAAATAGGGGTGGGAGGAAGAAAAACATTTCCTTTGTTCATATGCAAAGTAAATGAAACCTTGTTAGGTGACTGCTTGGACAAGACACTGACAGCACATAAACAGGATGGATTTTGTTGGGTTGTTTTGTTGTTTGGGTTTTCTTTCTAAAGTATGTTTCCAAATACAAAACAATTTCCTCTCTCAGATACTACTGTCTATACTGACAGACCATCCATAGTCAACAATCTAAGTCAAACATTCTGTCATCAATACCAAGCACTGATCAGGAAAGGATTTTTACCTTCTGGAATTCACCTACAGCCAGAACACATATATACAGTGTTTGGACAAGATTTTGTATCTGAAATGGCTCATACTTTGGAGCCATGAGAAGGAATCAGCTCCTAGGACAAAGCAAGAGTGTCCATTGCGGTTGTTAGAAAAGACAGCAGAGGGCAGCAACTGAATACAGCCATTCAGGACATCCTCTCCGGCTGTTACCTCTCAGCCTTTTCCCAGGACGTTCTACATGATTTTGCCTGCAGCTTGTCCTTTCGTCTGAGCAGCCCATTGTCTTAAAAATGAGTGTTTGGGCCTCAGTATGACTCAGAAGTTTGGGGGTTTTGTACCATAGCTTTCAGTAGTGAGACAGAGCAAATACAAGCTTCTCAAAATTTACTGGCTCATATGGTCTAAAATGATGCTGTGAGGGATGCTGATCACTTAACAGATCCTGAAGTGACCAGAGACATGCTTCCCAGAGTACACAGCCCTTCCTTTGAACCTCAGGACTAAAAATAACTTAAGTGAATTTTCTCCCTACCATCAGATTTTTAGACTTTTATTTTAGGCTAGATTTGAAACATTTAGAAACTGTTTGAAATAAAAGGCAGACCACCAAGTTAATTTACATACCTGTTGAGATCAACAAGCTTGTAGAGTTCTAAGGCTTTACCAAAATATTTTTTCTGAGAATTAAGGATCTCAAGTGTGGCTGCACAAGTGCCATGTTTATCCCACTCATGTTTCCTACACGAGAAAAGAAAAATTTAAGTTTTAGAAGATAGTATTTGCAGAGATATATGCTGCACAAGCTACCCATTATACTAACTATCTGAAAGACTACAGATATGAAGCAGGACACTGCACTCAAAAATACTGCACATGCAAAAAGTAAGCCCAAGAAAGATCACTCCCACAATTTCAATTACATCAATATCTATATATTTAAGAAGTAAATACATACCACACTCCTATGATACAAAGATCTCTCAGTATGTTACAAAGAGATGTTTGGAGGTCAGAATGTGCCAAGAAGAAATTATTATCTCTCAACTTTTTATAAGTTTTAGTAGAGTCTTTTATGCTAAATGCACTTTCAAAGCACTAAAAATTTTTCTGAACGGAAGAGATGAAGCCATATTTTGGGCAAAACAGTAAAACTGCACAAGCTGCTAAGACAAGACTTAAGCATCAACTTTTACTTTGGCCTGAGCCAGCATTTTCATAGGCCTGCTCTCAAGTCTTGCTTCTAGTCCACCATCAATTCTCCAAATAGCAAGAACACAGAGCAAAAGAAAGAAATTATTGCTATGTTATCACAGACAAACTCAAATAGGGCAAAAAAATGGAAAAAAGCTAGAAATATGTTTCTATCAATTCTAAAGTCTATAGAAAGACTAAACTATAATTTCTAATAGAACTGCCTGTGGATTTGGCAGGGGTCTTTTTTTTTAAAATTGTTTCTTTTCAAATTTTCATGAGCCACTTGTACTATGTAGGTATCAGTTCAGCAGATGTACTCAAAAATTATCTAATCACAAATTCCTGCCACCACCACAGCATCCCATGACCTTATGGTAACTTAAGTATGTCACCAAAAAGCAGAGAAGGACAACTATTATTCACTTGAAAGGCTGCCTTTGAATTGTCCATTCATATTAAAAACTTCAGATCTTTCTGAAAGAATGAAAACACCTTGAAGTTATGTTTGTATCTAGAGAAATTAGCACACTACTTCTGAACAGCGAATTAATAAAGCCACTGTGGCATCAGAAGATTTGAGGCAGGGGAAAAGATGCATTACAGTAAGATTTTCACTATCTCTTCACAAGTTTGGCCTAGTAGAGAGCTCTCATCCTGGCTGTAACACTCAACTCGACTGCAAGTCAAGTGAATTGTTTATTGCCTGGAGGAATTCAGTTTCCATGGGCAGATTTCTCCACAAGGGATTTGAAGTTACGGATGAGAAAAGACACCACAGTTTTAAAGACAATAGGGTTCCCCTATAGAACTTGCCCTTCTTCACCATTTTCTCTATCATGCTGCTAAGAATAAATGTTACACTTGCATACCTCAGAGCTAAGTCCTACAAATGAAGACTTAGGGGCCTGCAAAGGAATGAAACTGGTACAACTCAGCCGTGTGAAAAAGATGAACTTCAAAAAGCTTTTATTTCCTGTTCTGTACAACAAGGACAGAGCTCCCCCAAGCACAAAGTCATGCAGATATGACAAAGTCAGAAGCGTATCAGGTGGCTCCAAGGATTAGACAAACCACCCAGCTTGAAGACTATCTCATTATGAAAGTAGGAACAAAAAAAGTCTGTAAAACACAGCTGCAAGTGCTGCCCACAAAATGTCAAAGATTAGGGACACCCAGCTCTCCTATATATAGGTTAAACACCAATTCTTTCTTCTGTGTCATATGTATAAACAAATCCCAAAGAGAATTCTCTTGATTTAGAAATTTTTATTTGGTAAAAAAAATTTTTATTAACTACTGTAGTAATGTAGGATGGTTTTGGTAAAAAGACTTTGAGACACAAAGCACATTACTCTTTGTCCTGTATTAAGGCATTCTATCCTGTCCAATTCAAACTCTTGGATGACAATTTCCAGAGTTTATAAGCTAACAAGGTGAAAAAAAGATGTGCAATTACCCTTACAGAAGCACTCGTAGCCATCCTAAAATCACCAGGAAGATTCCTTACCCCCCCTTTTAAGCTGTGGCTGCAGTTAGAGGTAAAGCCAGGAAGAAACACACACAATTATAGCAATCTTGGGAAAACCCTGATATGAAATGCCAAGATATTCAGTAATTATTTTGCTTGTCGCTGCTCATGTTCTTTACCCAATTAAGATGCTTTCAGTCCATAACAATGAAAACTGTGAATAGTCAGTTTTACTTTCAGATTCTTATTTCTACTACAGCAGAATTTTTACACTATAGAGTTGTTGGGGATTTTTTGTTAATTTTTAAATAAATGAAGTATTTTAACTGAAGAGGGACATACAGTGGGGCCTAACTGGCTTTCAGATGGCTTCAAAGATTGCATTTATAAAATCTGCAGTTACAGCTGCCAAAAATTACAGTGCACTTGTCACCTTACTGATAGGGAGTGAATTACATTGTCAATCAAAATTGATTGACAGTGTTAGCACCTCACTTTTGTATTTCTAATTATATTTCCAGGTATTGAAATTAGAGTTATTTGCTAGCCTTGAACTGAAAGGAAAAAAGTTTTAATTGCATCTGTTCATAATGACTGTCTACCAAAGTACTTCTGTTAGTAAAATAAGGATTGGTGGGGCACCTGCTTTTATGAAGAGGTGGGTGGTCAAGATATGGAAGGTGCCAGATTTATGAAACATTTTTCTTATTCTAATTCCAGGAACAGTTTAAGGTGGCATAAATCTGGGCTGCTACTACAGAATGAAGCAGTCATGTTTTCCTCAGCACTGTGTAAGAGCAGAGGACTGGAGGGAGGAAGAAGTGATACTACCACTTTTGACAGTGACAAGTTTAAGTTGCCATAAAACACTTGTGGAATCAGTTTAAGACTCTGAAGACTAGTGTCTTCTGTGGAGCGAGGACAAGACTAAGAGAAATGCACATTCCCTTCAGAGCTGTTCCCTAGTGACACAAGGAAGGAACAGTCATCCAATTAAAAAGGAAAACTTACAGGCACTTATAGCTGAGATGGCTTTAAATGCTACTGCCTCTAGCTATGTATTCTGCTTCTTATCTGATGTTACCACTTTGACTGTAGATCTGGAAAAACAAATTGCATATCTATACCTCAGCTCATGGCTCAGCAAATTAACGCGCATGGCCACTGATTTTAGTTTAAAATAACACACTCGAACCAAAGCCCGTGCCAACTCAAATACACCAATGCCACTCTTTGGTCTAAGTGTCTAATTATTCAGAGGCCAAGAGAAACACGGAGAAGGAAAAGAGCACTGTTGTCAAAGGAGATCAGAATCTCTTCCCTTCCCATAAGCCAAGCAGCTTGATCTCTAAATAAATTCCCAGCTCTGATTTTAGGCTACTAGGAGAGGAAGTAAAAAGAGAGAGTTCTGTAGAGATGTGGATAGGATGATGCAGTGCATTCTATTTTCCTATTTCCTCCTCTGTGAGGAAGCCTGAAAGGAAAGCTCTCTCAGGGCCAGCAACACAGTAAAGCTAGCTGGAAAAAGAGACCTGGAAGCTGCTCTTGCAGCTGGCTGTGATATCCCATGAGTGCTAATGTTATTCAGATTTAATGCGTCAACAGCAGTTGTTTCTCCTCCCTGGGGACAAAGGGAGGAAACATTCTCTCACCAAGTTTCATTTCTCCAAAATCTCAGCCATAGCCCTCTCTTCAACAGCTTTGTTTTATAACAAAACAGATTTATATTGCAAATGAGAACAAGACACTACACTGCTTCAGTGGCCTCCTGGACACTACTTCTCATGCACAACATCTCACCTGAAGAGCTACTCAGACAGATTTTTTTTTTTAAATATTATCCAAAATGCTTTTTAGATGGTTTTGGGGTGGCTTTTTTTTTTTTTGTTTGGGGTTTTTTGGCTTGTTTGTTTTTTACACTCACCAGAACTGGGTGCGATTCAGAGATGAATGAAGCACATCAGGCCAACAGTGTCTCATGTCTGACATAAGATCCTAAAAATATCACAATTAATAAATGCACCTACAGTGTTGAAAAACCATTTCTTACACAATCAACATACATGGATGCACTTTCTAAAACTGAAGCTTCATCTTTCAACATCCCCACCTGAAACATTTAGTTGTAGAAAAAGAAAATATCTTTTTCCCTATTATTCTGAAAATGCTGTTCAAGATAACAGATAGGTACAAGTACCTAAAGATCTGAATGTACTGATGATGACATAATGGCTCAAAGTAAGACTTTCCTTCAACTGTCTCTGCAGAAGTTGTTTGATCATGCAGCTTTTCATATATGTCAGCTCAAGCCTCTTACCCCTGGCTTACAACACATGAATTAATTTTGTTCAATGACATATGGAATTTTTTTAATTAAAAGAAAAAAAAAGGACTAATGACCTAATACAGAAAACTGTACTCTGAACTCATATTTCCTGTGTTCTAAATTTGCAGTAGAAAATGTGAAGAGAGAACACTGTCTGACTAATCTCTTGCATGGGTACTTTTTGCCACTACAGATCCACCACCTATGTGGCAGTGACTCTCTAGATTTTTATTAAGGACGCGGCTGTATGGCTACAAAATCAAGAAGGCACAGCTGCTAATGACCACAAGGACTGAAACGTAAAGTAGTACCACAAGCACCTAATGAATTTGTGGAGTCCTTAAAAGCACATCCCTCTCTGCAAACATTAAGAGTGATACATTTTAAGGTACAGTTTTTGCACGTATGATGTGCAAAAGTAACTGCACTCAGCTCTATTGGGTATGACTGTTTTTATTTTAAATAAATACCTTAATCTCGGTGACATTGAAATGCCATGTCCTATTACAATCTTCAGTTTTGTCAGGCCTAGGGAAGCAAAATAAAAGTGAAAAAAAAGATGTCTCCTAACTCACTACTGGTAACTAACAGCATTCTACGTTACATCATTGGCCTGCATTTTAAATATGCAGGATTATAGCTGGAGATTTTCCTTACAAATGCAAGTAATCCATCAGAATCTACAGTGTTTTGGAATCAAAACATTCAAGAGATTAATTATAGCCGAAGGATTTCTCATGAAGTTCTTTGTTTCATCCTCCAGTCCCTCTCATTCTGTGTAAAAGTACTATGGTTGTGTCAGTGATATGAAGGGTCTTGCACATGATGCCACTGGTGTCACCAAAGGCACTGACCTCCTCAACTGCTGCACCAATTCATGATTCAATTGTTAGGAGCTGCAGCGACAGGACTAGGGGCAATGAGTACAAATTGAAGGAGGGAAAATTTAGGTTAGATATTAGGAAAAAGGTTTTTACTGTGAAGGCAGTGAGACACTGGCAGAGGTGCTCACTTTTCCAGGAGGCATAGCTTAACACACTCCTGTACTGATTTTTCCCCTGTATTTGTCAGAAAAACTTTTGAAGTGCTGCCATTAGCACCAATTCCAGTGAGCTGAAACAACTCCTTTGAAACAAATGAGTTTTTCTTATACTTTTGCAATATTTGTGCTGAGTTAAGATATTTAAAGCCACAAGCAGTCATGAGACATTAACAAATTCTGTGTACTCACAGAGGGGAAAAAAGAAAAGAGGGGGAATGATACTTCCCTTTCTGTTTGAGAATCTTCTAAAGAGACATATAAATAAAATACTCAAGTGGCAAAATGAGTACAGTGAGTCACGAGATATGAAGTGTATTTCAGTTTTATATCAAACCACAGGGTTTTGATTTTGTTTTAAGAAATCACAAGAACAGATAAAGACCTGAGAAAAGAAAAAAAGCACTAAATATCCTGGTACAAAACTTGGTTTTTCATTTCCATGTTAAAATAAAAAACACTAAGATCATACCACAGTCCATGAATCGTCCAGTACTTTGGAGGGTCTTCGCAATCATTAGCACTCATCTGTAGAAAACAAAACCCACAGAATATTTGTTGTGTGTACCCAGGAAAAATGGCTTTGAGGGGAAAAAGAAAACCTCATTCACTGGTGGTCCAAGGTTCTAGTGAGACATGAGAATCTACTTGCCCAATAAGGAACGGGTGGACTCAAGTTACTTGAAGCTGTCATAGATTATGCCACTTAGCAGAGAATGACTGACATTAAAATTTTGAAGCAGATCAAGTCAATATCAGGAGCATACTGAACAGCCGGTATAAAAAGATGGCAAAGGACAGGTTCTGAGGTAATAGAAAGTAGTCTGAACCATGCTAAATAAATGGAGCTTTTTCTTCATTTGCCATATTCCAGGTCAAAGCTCTCTGTACTTTTCTCATCACTAGATCTTTGCAAGGAGTGCAGAGCCATTAAAATAAAAAACATCAAAATTAACTATATTAGACAGGCACACAACCCTCTTTAAGTACTCAGGAGTAGTTTTATTGTTGTATTAAAAGGGAAAATGCAAAGAAAAGATTAAATAGGTTCTTTATTCTAAGTAAAATGGTTAGAATTTACTTTTTAAGTATCTTGACTTGAGGAACAAGAGAATGGAGAGAAGAGGAAAGACTATATACACCTACAAAACTAAAAAAAGAAGTAACAGCCTGCCATCAAAACTGTTGCTAAAACAAAAAATAGCCTACATACTAATTATTGTTTAGAGCAGAGACATTCCTCAACAAAACAAAACAAATCCAAGCTCACACATCACAGAATACCATTACTGTATTTTCCCTGATTATTCTGCTTAGTAATTATGGCTCATTTTAGTAAACACTTTTTGCCATTAACTAACAGCCTCCTCAGAATTTCTTTCCCCATAACAATAGCTTTCTTTTTTTGGCTCTGCATCCTGCTTTAATTATGCCATGATGCTTTTCATGTGATGCCAGAGCAAGAGCAGAGTGTAGAGAAGAGCAGGACAGGTCTGTAATCTCACTAATTGCCTTCCACATGCCACAGGCAAGTGGCAGCAAATCTGCAAGCTCTGCAAGACTTTCTTGTTCTGTGTCCATTTCCTTCCTCTCTTCTCTCCACCAACAATAGAAGCAATTAAACCCAGCAAAAACTTTTTTTCTTGAAAGGAATATTTTCAACAAACACACAGTGCAAATGCCTAAACAATATTGCTTCTGTCATGACACAAGCTTTTTGGAGCTGGAAGATTTCAGCTATCTAGGCCAAAATACAGCAAATTACTAGCCAGCAGCTTGCTCAACTGAGAGTGGCAACCACAACAGTGCAACTGTGCTCCTTAACCAATCTTTATCTGCAGTTCTCAGACACAATGAGTATTTTAAAGCCAAAGTATTTTAAATTTGTAATCAGTTCTCCCCTATCAAGGCACTAACCTTATTAGTAGTTACTTTGACACATTTCATCAGGCTCTGGGTGTTACACTGTGCACTGGCAGAAATGCAAGGTCAGGGCAACCCACAACACATTAGTTCACACTTCCCATGCTTTGGCCAGCTTCATTCATCCTTTTTAACTCTAGCTTCAGTATTTTTCCAATGTTTGTTTCAACTCAGTATCAAAAACGAAGCAAATGCTAGTCTGGGAAGCTGAGTACTGCTGTCTGCTTCTGCAAAAACACTTCTTGTCAGCCTTCCTGTTCATCACAGACTGAGAGCTGGAGGATTCATTCAATATAAAGCAACTGTCGACTGAGAACAGAGGTACAAATATGTATTTTCAAAGTTGGCATCGGACCACAGAGAGCCTTATATAGAGAGATTTATTTGGAAAAGGAGCATTGCTTTCTCCCGTTTTAAAGCAATCTAATAATCCAATAAATCCAAACTAATCATATATGATCTATAAAACTGAGAAAAGTGCCAGGGAGGCTTTAGAGCACCCACCATGCTGACAGGGAATGCTGCAGCAGAAAGATTAGCCTATTTGTAACAGCAAGACATTGGACAAATAATGTGTGCCAAAAGCATGGAAGCTACTTTCACCTCTGAAATACCAAAAAAAGTGGAATACCATCAAACTGTCACACAAGTGTTACCTGTAAACCTGCCCAAGTTACAAGCCCCTTGGTACTGTAGCTTGGACATAGAAGAGGATAGTGCTACTGGATCACATACAGTTACAGCAAGTTTAAATGAAAAGTTAGCTTCTGGGAAGTTTCATCTCATTCTCCCTTCCAACCATTCTGCTTAAATAGGCCAGTTGATTAATTAAGACAAAATTTAAGTGTTGCTGTGTAATGAAACATCACAACTGCTATGAAAAATCCTTGTTTTGAAACTGTGGAGAGTTCATTTCCTCAATTTCTCTCCCCCAAACAGTGTGCAACTATTTCCCTTCCTCCTTCCCCCCAACCCCTGGGATAAAACAAATCAACATATGAACCAAATTTATAAGGTTGCTGAAAACATTTGGGAGGAGGGAAATAAAACAAATTTACTTCTTGTTGGACACCTCTCTAGCATGAGTTAAGCTAAAACCTTTCGTGTGTTTATCCTTGCAGAATATAAAGACCCACAAAACTGCCTAAACCAGACCTTATTCATAGAAAAGTTGGAGACATAGATTAACAGTTATGAGTTACATGGGCATTTGGAAAAAAAATAAATTTTTGTTTCAGAACAGCATGTCGAGCTGGAATGACTTTGACATATCTTGCTTAATATGCAAAGAAATAAAGGTATCCCTTTACCTAAGGAATTTTTTGATCTAATGCTAGATAACAATAGTGTACTACCCTCACTTTAATTCTTTCTACAATATGTGACTACTTCTATTTTGACAAAAAAAAAGAAAGAAAAAATAGCATTTCTAGTCTTCATTTAAGACTCTGCTATAAAATTATTGCCAAAGCCTGAATTTAGGAAAACTTTTAATCTCGTATTAAAAACAAAAAAATAAAATTGCATCTGTTGATTAACACTATATTCAAACTTGCATTCAGGCTGTTCGGTTCATTAGTCTATTCTTTTCACCTTTCTTCGACTCTTTCCTTTGATCAGCACATATGTACAGCACAAGGCAGATGACAGCAGGGTCTAATACCCATTTCTTTATCACCCTTCCCATTCCTAACAGAGGAGGAACTGAATAACTACAAACTTTCACAGGATTTCCCATATTTCACAAAAAACACCCACAGAAGATTTTATCTTTTTGCAATCTCCAGGATGCCAAAGCTGCAATAATAGTTCCCTTTTAAATGACCTTCACAACTCCATAAAAAGGGAGGGGGAAAGTCCCTCTTCTTGCCCTTGATTCGCTCTTAATTCACATTACTTTGTTACCCGAAAATATAAGTGTCACATGAATTGGCCACATGACGTTCAAAAAATTGCACCACAGACAATTTATTGAAGGAATATTAAATTCAAAATCACTTGAGGTCTGTGAATTTAGCCTGGGTATCTTTCTATAAAACAGTCACTCTAGGTCAATTATATGGTACTGGAACTTCTAATCACATTATGAGGAAATACATCTCTCCTCCTCCTTCACCCTTTCGCTGTAGCAGTCAATAGCTAAGTCCTGGGGATTTTACTGCTTCCATGACACTGCCTTATTTTAATGGGTTAGTTTAGAAGACATGATTACAAAACACTTTCCAATTTAACTGATCGCACTCATCAAAACTGATCACACTCAGTATTAAAAAGCACCAGTAGAACACACTGTTTAAAGCACAGGAAGAGCTGGGAGAGATGTAGTCTCACATTTCTGGTATGCTGACCTGTGCCATCTAAATTTTTAAAAAGGCCTTTCAGACCTTTGAATCCTGAAAATGTTTTTGAACAGAGATATACAAAACAGGAATTCAGCTGCAGGTCATCCACGCACCTCTGGAGAACACAGCATGGAAGAAGGAGTCTATAATCAGGTTCTTGTATATGAGAAGCATAAACTAATTAGTACTTTCAGACACGAGTGTCTGAAAGGCTTTTTACGTAAATGATATCACGAGTTTTGCAGTTTCCTTCACACAGCTATTCTTCCTTTCAATGTCATGTCAACAGTTTTAAACTGAAGAATGACGTTAAAATCTGACATTAAAATCCCTGAAACAAAACAGTTACCATATATAAATAGACTGAACATGCAGAAGAATCTATAGTCTTGCAAAAATTCAGCCCATAGCTGAATTTAGGATCTCCTCTTATGTAACAGAAATCCAGCTGAGATTCTGTTTCTTCATATCACTCAGTGATGTAAAACTGGGAAATAAAGTCACTTAATATGATTTTAATTTCATTTTTTCTTCACTTCTTTGAATGTGTCTGCCCACCTCTTACTACAGAACATTATAAGGAATAAACAAAGCGTAAGAATACCTACATTTTCTGATACTCAATACCTTCAGTTATTGATTACAATTTCAGGAAGGTTATTTGTCAATTTACCAATAACACAACTCTGGAATTAAGGAGAGTAGCCAGCATAAATATACACTGGGGAAACTGGTTTGTAGGCGTCTGGTTGGCTGGTTTGTGGGTTTTTCTTTAGACTTTTCTCCTTTTTTTTTAAATTGTTCACATCTCATTCATGTAAACAAGGGTTTGCACTGCTACTGACTCTGAACACTCACTCGTGCCAAGCCCTACAAACTCTTGAACACCAACATCTCTGCTTGAAGTCAGTAACAGTGATGTTTATTCAACAGAAAATCAGACACAAATTGCATCAAATGTGTCATTATTCCCTCTGAAAAACAGGCAAACAAACAAAAAACAGAACAGTGATCTTGATCCTCGGTCTCAGTCAGTCATGCACATCTGAGTTTTGTTACTGATACTTGCCCTGCATGTTTAAGTAATGTAAAGTACATTTACTTTCCTCAGATATTTAGGCAACATGTGAATTCTGCTGCTACTGCTTTTATACATATTTCCAGAAACAGGAATGAGAAATAAAAAAGTACCTAAACCTAAAAGTTAAGACTCTAATATTTCAAGAAATAAACCTAAGGCCCCTTTTCACCTCCAGAGACATTTGTCCCAAACTGAAGCTTGTCCATTACCAACAAGATTCTTCATCCTTGTGTCAGTAAATCCAATCATGTCTTTCATTTTGAAGCACAGCATAATTTTAATTTAACTGTATGAGAAGAGGCCTTTGAGTGTTTCCAGCAAAGGAAAAGTGCTCTACTTATCGGATGGTAGTAGGTATTTAATAGCAGAAGGGACGTAACTAGTACATCTCTTAGCTGTGCTTTTGACAGACATGTATTGGAAGGTTGGGCTCATTTTTGGTTCCCATCTCTCACATACAGAAAAAAATGTAGAAACACTCAAGAGACACCTACCATAACAGCTTTATAGCTCTCTTTTTGCTGACCCAATCCATATTTGATGACATTATTGAAACACTGGAGCCAACACTATAAAGCTAAGAATCTATTTGTGCAGCAGATAATGCACATTCTGATCTGCTGTCTTCAGTCAAACAAGGCAGGCAAGTCTTACAGAGTCTGGTGAAAGTCTAGGATTGAGTTTACAACTAACAAGGTGTCACAAATTCTGTAACAAGCTTAGTGCACAGTAAAACCTACAGTGACTACTGTATCTGTAACATAGCATAATCCTGTCCTGTTTAGGACTGATCTGGAGTAGAAGGAAAGTAGCAAAAGTTGCATCAAAATCAGCAAAAGCCTTTATAAAGATAAAAGGCCATAAGTAAGACTAAATGCTTGACGGGCTTCATTCATTCCATTTTCAAACATTTATTGTCCAAAGCTCCTTTGTCAGGATAAAAGAAAAAAAAAATCTCACCTTACACACAGTCACTGGCCAATGATGAGCAAGATACAGCTTTTTCCATGTATGAGGGTGGCTGTCACTGGAGAAAGACAGATAAATTTATTTTTCCCCTCAAACATTTCAAAAAGAGGAACACTTTCAGCCAATACCACAATGCTTACTAGCACAGCACAAGGATTTTAGAGCTGGTTGTTGTTTATAGCTTCAACTGCAATATTTGAGAACTCTAAACGCAACCTAACAAACCACATAAAAACAACATATTTAGAAACCTGCTAATACCCTCCCATTGTTACCCCCAATTTCTCCTTCTGACACCCTCTCTCCACATGTCTTCCATTTCTTAAATATGGAAGAAACACATTGCTCTGTTTTATATTTAGGAGAGCACTTACTAGCAAGCTGTTACAAAAATAATATTTTTAAAAAAGATATATCTTTGTTCAGGATGTTAAAAACCTTTTGATTCTTCTTGATGTGTAAATTAGATGGAAAAAAATACAACATTCTTGGAACTGTACCTACTCTTCTAGAAACAAAGGGCTACAAACAACCACAAGCAACGTAGCTGACACTGCAGGAGATGCAACTGGACCTTGCAAGTGTCTACAACCTTTTATATTATAAAAAACAAAAGATTAAAAAGTAAAGTACAAACCATCAATCTCAAAAATGCTGACTCTCTCAGTTTATAGACATTTAATTCAAACAGTACATTTTAAAATGCTTACTAATAATTAATCGTTAAGTATTTAATAAACTATGACAGAGTCTTAAAGTTACCTAAGGAAGGACTAAAGAAGTAATATTCCATACTTTACAAAAGCATTTCTGTTTCAAAGCCTCTTAGAATAAGATCTATAACTCAGAGGCATCAGTACTATCTTATTCCTATGCAGGGGGGAAAAAACCCTAAACCTTCAATAATTTTTTCAGAAAGTGTTGGAAGCCTAAAGCATGTCTTTCACCACTTCTACAGAAGCAGTTTTCAACAGTTTGGAGCAAACCTATACTGGATGAACTAGAAGCAGATTAACTTGTTGCATTAGACACTACAGCAGATATATTTAGCTAATAAGCAGCCACAAAAAGTGATTAAATAGAACAGCAAGTGGGAACAATCAACAAAAACAGAACTATAAATTGTTCAAACTGACAGCATTATGAGCAGAACTGTCAAAATAAATTGCTATTCTCTGGAAGCTAATAGCCACATGTCCATCATTAGTGCCTGCCAGAGGTTATACTAAAAAAAATAAATATAAAAACATAGAAAGCTAGTTCTTCTTAACCTGAGGAAGTAGAAATGCTCCCGTGTTACATCACTTCTCATTTTTTTCCCCCTCTAGTTTTTCTAGTTTGCAATGGCCATATTTTCTCTTATGCATTCACATGTATCTGTGTTTTTTAAATAATTTAGTTCTGGAACTGACCAGGCATAGCCATAATGAAAACTATTAACACTTCCACCTGGGTCTTTACTGCTGCTGTGGAAACTTGAATAAAAAAATTATCCTATATTGTAGAGCAGTTTTCTTGCTTTAAAAACCCTAACTTTTCTTAGAAAAGATCTTTCATTAGATTTGTCATCTGTATTTGAAACAGCAGCTGAACTTCTGCAACGTCAATCATGCTAACAAAAATTCTCTCAGTACACACTTTTTGGCTAAGGATAGGTCAGAAACTGTACTTATTAAACAGAGCAAGTTTTAGAAACTTAAGCTCAGAACTGGAAGCCAAGGAAAGCTATTTTCAATTCCTATCCCGTTCTTTTGACCCCAGTTACCCTGCTCTGTGCAGTTCAGGAATGTGCCTCTAGAGCTGCCTCTGTCTCCACGACAGTGAAGGCACAGTCTAAGTCCCAGAGATTCAAGAAACAACAGCAGTGTTTAAGCTACCAACCAGTTACAACGCAGCTTATATGAAGTGCAGCAGTGAACTGAGCACCTTAGCTATTGTCCTGCCAAGGCATTGAAAGGAAGGAGAAAAGTTTATTTCCTCACAGAATGCAATAGGAATTTGAACTTTTAACCACAGATGGGTGTGATTTGGGGTGTGGTTTTCCCCATGGCCCATTGGTATTCAAGCTCAGATTTTGCCAAGTACAACAATCACCTAAAGGCTGTGCATCACTGATCCAGCCCCAGCTGGGATGCTATCTGAAAATGAGTTTCAAGTTATTGTAACTGAGAAAATAGCAAGGAAAAAAAAAGATATATTAAAAAAGTATACAATGCAGCAGTTGGTGCAGTTCATGTCATGTGGATGATTCCAAGTTTTTAGTTCTAGGTCACAAAATTCTTTCTGATTTTTGTCATTACTACATCACAAGTCTAAATTATTCATTTAAAGCTAAGATTACAAAAGTTATAAGTGCAATGAATGTAATTTAAGTTTCCCTCTTTTTTCATGCTGACACATTAATAAAGGTAAAGCTTTTCTTAGGTATGATCCCTGTTCTTCCAGTTAATGTAGATGCCTCGTTTTAACAGTCTCCTAAGGAAAGAATAACATATCAAAAATAGCACATAATAGCAAAATTTACACTCGTTAGAAGTTAAACTGTTCTGATCTGCACTTAAGAACGAGCTATCATACATTTGTTTTTAAAGCAAAACTTACCTGTAAATAAATTTTTCTGAAGTACACCAACAACATAATGCCATAGAAAAACAACCCAGAATCCAATAGTGCAGCTTTGCAGGGTTCATTTTGTTAATCGAATAGCTGTAAAAAGGTGTTAAAAGAAGAAATATTTGACTTATACAATGCACTAAACTGAAGTGCTAAAATGCAGAAAACCACAATTATCTCAGAAACAAGAGATAACAGTAGCTCTAGACTAGATTTACAACTATGGGTAAAATGGGGATCACTTTCAAGGCTGTGCCTGATTTCCAGTCTGTATGCTAATTTTTATCAATTAATGGCAAATTAAATCCTCTCAAGGATGAAATCACTGGTTACTTTTTTATCTTTACTTGCACACAGTCCCAAGAGAGCCACTTTCCAATAAACAGAGACACATTACATAAAGTATAGTAGCTTAAAAGATTTATTTAAGACTACTTGTGGTCAGCTCAAATGCCCAAAGTGATTCATTAAAGAAACTAACTTGGAACTTAACATTGAATATGTTGGCTTGACCAAGACTGTTATTAGAAACTCAGAGGAAGCCAAGTATGATGCCCAAAGATGAAACTCTCTCTAGATGCCAGTCAACTACCAATCTGATATTGAAAAAAATGCTGCTAATACCAGATTAGTTTCTGTTCTGAGACAGCCTCAACGAAACCATGCCTACTTCTTCATGAACCTTACAAGCTAAAAAAACAAAACATAAAAAACAAATCAACTTAACCTTCACCAGTAGAAGTACTTTCACTTGGCACAGGACAAAAAACCCCAACTGCCTCCTGTATCCACCAGACATTTCACAGCCTTTTAAATGGTGCCTTCTAGAAACTGTATTTACATGCAGTTATTAAAGCCTCACCAAACCTACTTTCCAGCTTTCTCAAATCAAGAACCCTAAGAAAAGCACTACAAGACATTGTGTATGAACCATGTGATCCTTTGAAGATCACTCACTACACAAGTCCTATCCTTTTTTCTACAAAGGTTTTATTATTTCATCTTTACAACTGTCAAATAAAGCCTGCTTTGACACTAGTAAAGACATTGCTGATTATTAAAGCTAACTTAAGAAAACTCAGTGTAATTCTGATCCACAGCTTGATCCAACAAGAATCCATTTTCTCACAGTTATTGCATGCCCCCCCCCAAGTCCTACCCCACAGTTCCGCAAACACTGCGGCAGAGCAGATGTAGGAAAGAGGCAGCTTCCCAACTTGCAAAACATGTGGAGATTTCAAAACTCATGAGGGATTTGGGCAACAATGGTAACCATTAACCAGCTAAATTTCTCACCAGGTTTTGCAAAATTGTGAATAAACAACAACATGTAAGATATTCTTCTATTCCACACATTAATGCCTCTCTAATTCATAATGGATACATTATCAAGGTAACAGCTTGACCTAATAGAAGATATATTACAAGACAAATACTGGTTGCCAACTGTTAATTTTCTGATCTAGTTTCCTTAAAAATGCCAGAATGAATTTCATTTACCAGGCAAGATGAACACCCAAAATAATTAATCATTTGGAGTGTGATATTTGTATAGAAAAGCAAACAATAATGTAGAACTAATCTTTATCAAAAGCCAGCTGAAGGAAGACATATACCTTCTATTAAAGAAATTGGTATATTCACTAGGGTACAAAAAAGTCACAACTAAGTAATTAACTGCTGGGTATCCAATTTCCCTAAGAGTTCTGCATTTTAAGGGATCTCAAGTCTCATCATTTGAACA